CTAATTATCAATGTTTAAGCTTCCTTTTAGGCTTTTTATTTATTTATTTAACTTACTCTAAGCTCTTAGGCTTATGTCTTAATCATCCAACTCATAATGTCTAACCAAATTTAAATACTTAGTAATTTCAATTAAAACAATGTTCCATGATTAAGCTCTTAGGTTTTGTCTTAATCATACGTATCAGTAACTTATAACTCTAAACCTCTTTTTGACCCCAAGATTAATGAAAAAGAAAACACCTTTTGTCACCTACTTATGTGACACACTGACACTCAAATGCTAAAATCTAATCACTCTCCAATGTAATGAAGATTAATAATGGAGAGTTTTCACAGTGACCTACCTAATTAACTTTGTAGAATTGCCTGCTTTGTTGCCGAATTTCCGAGCCCGTGGCTCAATGGCTAAACCAAATGGGCCCAAGAACAGTCTGATTTTGTATACCCAAAGCAAAAAAAAAAAAAAAGATAATTAATTAACCTGTTCAGGTTTTATAATCTGAACATAGAATATGCAAGATACAGTGGTTATAAAGATTTAAAAGCTGATGTATGCATTATTGCATTAAGATCTTGTGTTTGACAAGTGATGAGTCTTAAAACTATACATTATGAAGATAATGATTATTAATTTATTATGATAAAACACTTGACAACTAGATCTAAACAAGAGATTCTAACTTTCTAAGCATGAATCTGAACAAAACTAAAAAATACTATAATTTGTTGAGTTTATTTTTCTTCTTTCATGTCAAAGATTGCATTAGATACTGGAATATTTAGCTTAGATGTGCAAAAGATGAAACCAAAAAAAAAAACAATAAGGAAATCACCAATGTAAAAGCAAAAATTCTTTTTATGTGTATTTTAATAACAATACAAGTTTCAAATTTAAGTATTTAAAAACTATTATGATCAAATCTAATGAAATGAAGCTGGAATTTTGCCTTATGTTCAGTTTGATTTTTTAACGCCATAATGGTCAATGAGAGGAACCTTCATGGCAAATGGTTACTGAGTTTTAA